TCACCCAAACATTTCTCTGGTAGGGAGGGAAGGTGGGGGGAGGGTTGGGACTGACCGACCCACCTGGGTGAGTGTGAGGAGAGGGGGGAGGCAAGGTGGGTACTTTGATTGACAGATAGTGTCTTGAAGAATATTTTTTTTTGATTAACAAGATATTTGTTTTAGCTCATAAAATTCATACAAATTACTCGGCCAGAATATAATTTACATTGTTGGAATTCTTACAATATGATGATCATTTTGAATATATACATCATGGATTTTGCATTAGACATATAAATTTTAGATCTAATGTAATAATTTGGTTTACACAAAGCAAATATTTTATCTTTTGTGCAAAATATATGAAGTTTACATTCAAAATATTCCCTGACCTGCAAGGAATCCAGAAATGTCAATTATATTATCCTAACTTTAGTCTGAGTTATTATTTATTACTAAACTTTTAAATCTAGTGTTTTCACCCAAACATTTCTCAGAGAGGTAGGAGCTAGTGAGCTGGGAAGAGGGGAGATTTGAAGCCATTGTTTGAATGGACATTAACCTGGCGATTGTATTTCTCTTAAATATTAATTGTGTGAGCATACCATCATAAAATTAAGATGTTATTTTTACTACAACATAGGTATTGTGTCGAAAAAAGTGGAGTTTGGTGGTCGAGCCAGTCTCTATTGGAATTAATTCCATATGTTCTGTTGTTCACTTTACGCGGTTTTCACTTTCCGCGGTACCCTGTGGGTTCAATTGACCGCTTAAATCGGGGTTGTACTGTATTGTACAGTGGTCCCTCAGTTAACGTATGGTTAGATTAACAAAATTTTGGTTAATGAATTACCTCCCATAAGAATCTTCAGTTCGGTTAACGAACAAAACTTTGATTAACGAAATCCTTATGGACATTACGTTTTGTTGTGAGCATCAGCTGATCAGCTAATGGGTTAGTCTGCCAATTCAGTAATCTGTTCTATGTTTACATTAGTTTCCAGTGGAGTAAATATCAAGAAAGTTGTGTTCTTTAATATTTTTGCATTTTTTATATTTAAATTATTAGTCATTGAAACATTTATTTACCATATTGATAATATTTGCATTACAGGGAACTAGTTTTTTGTGCGCCCATCAAACGCTTGATGCGGCCACCAGGCGTCAGTTGGGCTTTGTTGACAATGAAGTTGAACATCTATTTTGTTGGTGTCCTGATTGTTTTTGCATTTTTACATTGAAATTATTGGTCATTCTGAAATTTAGTTAACATATTGATAGTATATAGCACAGTGCAGTGTTGATTTAAATAAAATAATCTTGAATTACACCTAGTGAACTTAAAATTTTATTGGTGAGATGACGGCATCAAGCATGGGTCCCCTGAAAGGTGATTTCTCCTCCATCCCCACTTCCTTCTCTTCTCCCTTCTCCTCCACCCCCACTTCTAATTCCCATCATCATCATCATCAACCAGGAACCTTCTACATACACACCTCAAAGTAAGTGTACAGGTGCTCCCCGACTTACGACGGGGTTAGGGACCGACATCCAGGTCGTAAGTCGAAACGGTCGTAAGTCGGAAATGCTGAAATAATACATAGAAAATCTAAAATGGGGGTCTCTTTTTCTTCTCAGCACCACAAAGCTCCCACTTTTAAGCTTGCCAGCCATTTTAAAGTGAATTACAGATGAAAATTTTGTGTGTGTACTGACTTTGGGACTCGAAAATACGTAATTTGACCAAATATTGGTACGACTGAGGCAGGTCGTAAGTGTGGGTGGACGTAAGTGTAGTAGGTCGTAAGTTGGGGAGGAGCTGTACTTTACTGCATTTTTTTTTACTGTGTATGTATTTTTCGGTGAGCTGAAACCAATTACCCAATATCCCATTGAAACAGTGGATTCGGTTTACGAAATTTTCGGTTGACGAATGACCTTCTGGAACTAATTGTGTTCATTAACCTTGGGACCACTGTACTCCAAAACAGACTATGATTACCATGTTGCTCTAGATTGCTATCCACAGTAACATTATTTGGTTCCATCTCTACTAATGTTTCATTTTCATTTAAACTATCATTATTAACAAGAGCAACATCACTATATTGCACAATATTCACCAAGCATTTCTTGATATCCAATACTACTTGTTTGAGGTCCTCACGGAGTTCTACTAGAATGTTAGGGGCTATAAGGTTATTGCCCCCGTTACCTATGTCCTTCTGTGCTGCTGCATTACGTATTTCCATACGCTTTTCCCTCACATTTACAGCACTTGGTTTCCCTGCAACATCGCTCCTTACAGCGTCACCTTTATCCTCTTGATTAGTGGACTGAACTCGTGATTGCAATTGGTGAACTTTCGGTTTTTAGGACACACCCACGAGCTGGCATTGTGAGCCCCCCAACAATTACAACATTTTGGTGTAATTTTCTCCTTCGTCTTAATTTTATTTCCACATATCCTAGATTCATGCATTTTTCCACAGAATCTACATTAAAAAGCATTATGGCATTTCCACGCCATGTGACCCCACTTGCAACACTTATAGTGTATTACTGGAGATTTGTTGTAGACAGCAACCAGCTTATATTCCAAACATCTCACAAAGACCTTCTCTGGCGCTGAACCTTTGATTAGCGCAATTAGCTGCGGCTTAAGGACTAGTTCCCCATCAAATCTAATTACACGTCTCTTGGCTCAAAAAAATCTATCGTCAGCTAACACATCCTCGGGGTCAAGGTAAACAGGATAATGAAAGAGAATGATCTTAGTACACTTCCCAATGGACACCACAGGCTTTTCCATCACTACATTTTCAAAACCTTCTGTAGTTTAATATCTAACTGCTGCCTCAACCTTCACAGTAATATAAGGAATATGCTTACCTTCTTTAAAGAGCACTTGATACCCTTGATGGTGCTTAGTGAGTCTAACTGACCACTTTACCTTATCATGAAAATCCATGCCATTATTTTTGGGGAAGTAAAGATGTGGCCTCCTTGAAGAGTTGCTGCCATCTAAACCATCAGTGGGGTTTAATCTCGATGTACTGATCTTGGTTGAAGAATGACTCCCTCCATCAATTTTCTTTCGCTTATCCACCAAGTGGGAAATGTTATCTTCATTGCTTGTACCATCTCTATTCCTCCTTTTATTCTTCATTTTGCTATTAACAACTTTAAATGGCTCTTGTTCTTCACATTCACTGCTGCTAGACAACTCCAAATCCATCAACACTCCCCCAGCAGTACCTTGGGCTACATTGCTGTGACCGCTGTATCCACCACCCAATTCTGTTCTTGTAGTAAGTGACCTTCTCGTTGAAGCTCTTCCGCCAATCATGACCATACGTGTCCAGCCAGGGAGGTGTAGGAGAGCAACCTGCACGTCCGACCAGTACGGCCAGCGTCCCAGAAGTGTTGCCGTAAAGGATGAGGAGAACCATCAGTGGCAATGATTAGGGTGACGTCCGATATTCACCGGCACTGTGAAATTTATGTTCCCACTTTCTGAGTATGTCTCCTCCAAATTCTCCGTAGACCAGGGAGAACACACAATTACCCCCATGCTCCTCCTGTTGCTGCTGCTGCTGAGGAGGAGGAGAAGGAGTTATCCATGATGTAACATGATGATAAATGAATAAAACACTCGAATATTACGTACCAGAAAGGATGTTGAGTGCTGCATCAGATGGTGAGATGACGTTGTGGGATCAGAGTTACTGGGAATTACCTTCTTAAAATGTCGAGTTTAATGTCCAACCAATTCCTTCATGGAATCATTTATCACCACTTATTTCACTTGAATTTGATGGTCATTTTTTCACTCATCGTGAATAAGGGTACACAGTAGCACAGGCTCATAACTGAACACAAACTGGGTTCTACAACCTTCCCGGCTAGTGGGACCCATCCGAGAAGGCCCCACTTTAATATTATTGTAAACTGATAACATAGGAGAATAAAAGAATAAAAAGAATAGAACAGGTCAGATCAAGAGTGAGAAAGCTTGCTTATGATGTGTAGTTAATAGTAAGAGAGACAATTGAGACCCTGCAGTTATGTGTAAATGAGGCAGAAAGACAGATCAGCAACATGGGACCTGGTCTACCATTAGACAACAAATTATGCTTCCAATATCTTCCCAGGCAGTAGTACCTCCCTCTTTGGTAGCTGCCTACTGCCCATTACAGATGCATTCACACATAATCTTTTTACTATCTTTTTTAAATATTTCAATTAAAAATTACATTGTTTTAAAAAACAAAATAAAAAAATAAAAATTCCTTAAGAGTGAAATTCCTTAACCAGAAATTCTGTAACCCAGGGTATGCCTGTATATAAAGCACACACACACACACACACTTCCCTCAGCCTTCATAGGGTAAGGGCGTGTGTAGTCGGCGCTGCTCGCTCACGCGGCCGTGGTCTCTTGATCATGGAGACAGCTGCCAGCCCGGTGTGTCGGGCCCTCCCCTTCCCCATCTCCTCCTTCCCATCTGGATTTATCAACATCCTCACACCAACAGTACAGTGCAAAGATTGACGATTAACCCACAAGTGATATACAAAAGTGGCAATTTCAACTCGAAGGAAAAGCACAAAAACACAGCAATACTGATGTGGCTGGATCTGACCTGACCTCACGGCTTCACCTGACCTAACCTGAAGGATGGAGCACACCTGCATTGCCCCAAGCTACTGTCTTGGCCACGTGGCCACACACCTGCCCAACCTCATCCAGCCCATACGAGCACGAACTGACTGCTACAAGAACAGCGCAGTCCCAACCTTTGTAAAAATCATCAACACCTAATTATTATATATCATATTTGTATCACTTGTGTTACTTGTACATCATTTGTAAATCAAGAGAACCATTCCCCAATTATGTAATTGTATATTTTCAGCCTTCCGGCTGCCATACTCTTTCAATAAACCGTTAATTATTATTATTATTACTGTATTATTATTACACACACACATACACTTACTTATTTATTTTTTTCTAGTGAATGATATGGCAAATGAAGATCTTTTGAGTCATTTTGAAGAAGCTGTAGCATTCATAGATGATGGACAGAAGAAAGGCAATGTTCTGGTTCATTGGTAAGTACCAAGATATGTATGAGTTTTAAAGTTTCTGTTGTTCAGAATTAGCTGTTTTTACTCAATGTGTGGTCTATACATTATTTTAAGACTATAGTATGTCTTAGTGTTTGTTTTGATTGTTTTTCTTCATATTTTAAACAAAAAATTTACACCCTATACAGTATTCAGTTTATGGTGTTATTGGGTGGATGTTTTTTGGAAAACAATTCTTGACAATTTCTCTATTATTTAGAATCACATTGTGCCCTTGATATGGTTGGGTAGGCAGTCAGGCATTTCTTCATTACTCTACTTTATTGTAAGGAATGTACTGTACTGTACTAGGCCTGTACAAGCTCTTGAATGTACAGGTTGCACTTCAAAAATCGAAACATCACTTCTCCAAAAGCTAAAAGAAAAGAAAACACAATATATATCTACACCTCCTAAACTTTATTTGTGGGTACATAAATAGATAACTGTGAAGAAGTGTAATTCCTTTTCTTTTTAACGCTGTGGAGAAGTGTAATACCTTTTCTTTTTAACATTGTGGAGAAGTGTAATACCTTTTCTTTTTAACATTGTGGAGAAGTGTAATACCTTTTCTTTTTAACGCTGTGGAGAAGTGTAATACCTTTTCTTTTTAACATTGTGGAGAAGTGTAATACCTTTTCTTTTTAACACTGTGGAGAAGTATAATACCTTTTCTTTTTAACTCTGTGGAGGAGTGTAATACACCTTTTCACATATCCGTTGAGACATTGTTACATTACTATTTGACAAATTTCGTAACCGAATGACAGAACACATATCGAATGACAATCTAAATTAACTGTTCGTTCATGCTAACGGAAGTGATTGACATAAGTTATGAAATTGACAGACGTGAACAATAAACCGACAGTCTACATATCGTTTGAGAATGTAACAATTGGAAAATGACATACCACCAACAGTTATTTTAGATTGTCATTCGATATGTGTTCTGTCATTTGGTTATGAAATTTGTCAAATAGTTATGTAACAATGTCTCAACGGATATGTGAAAAGGTGTACTGTACCATTCTTTTATCACTGTGGAGGAGTGTAATACTGTACCATTCTTTTAACACTGTGGAGTGTAATACAGGGGGCCCCCCACCTTTGCGGGTGTTAGGTTTTCAAAATGGCCGCGAATAACATTTGCTGACCGGGGGAATACATTTTGACTTGTGTACAAAGAAATGTTTATTCCTTTTATGTGTTTGCCCTTAGGACAATTATTTCTTTTACCTGTATTGTAAATATGTGTGTGTGTGTGTGTGTGTGTGTGTGTGTGTGTGTGTGTGTGTGTGTGTGTGTGTGTGTGTGTGTGTGTGTGTGTGTGTGTGTGTGTGTGTGTGTGTGTGTGTGTGTGTGTGTGTGTGTGTGTGTGTGTGTGTGTGTGTGTGTGTGTGTGTGTGTGTGTGTGTGTGTGTGTGTGTGTGTGTGTGTGTGTGTGTGTGTGTGTGTGTGTGTGTGTGTGTGTGTGTGTGTGTGTGTGTGTGTGTGTGTGTGTGTGTGTGTGTGTGTGTGTGTGTGTGTGTGTGTGTGTGTGTGTGTGTGTGTGTGTGTGTGTGTGTGTGTGTGTGTGTGTGTGTGTGTGTGTGTGTGTGTGTGTGTGTGTGTGTGTGTGTGTGTGTGTGTGTGTGTGTGTGTGTGTGTGTGTGTGTGTGTGTGTGTGTGTGTGTGTGTGTGTGTGTGTGTGTGTGTGTGTGTGTGTGTGTGTGTGTGTGTGTGTGTGTGTGTGTGTGTGTGTGTGTGTGTGTGTGTGTGTGTGTGTGTGTGTGTGTGTGTGTGTGTGTGTGTGTGTGTGTGTGTGTGTGTGTGTGTGTGTGTGTGTGTGTGTGTGTGTGTGTGTGTGTGTGTGTGTGTGTGTGTGTGTGTGTGTGTGTGTGTGTGTGTGTGTGTGTGTGTGTGTGTGTGTGTGTGTGTGTGTGTGTGTGTGTGTGTGTGTGTGTGTGTGTGTGTGTGTGTGTGTGTGTGTGTGTGTGTGTGTGTGTGTGTGTGTGTGTGTGTGTGTGTGTGTGTGTGTGTGTGTGTGTGTGTGTGTGTGTGTGTGTGTGTGTGTGTGTGTGTGTGTGTGTGTGTGTGTGTGTGTGTGTGTGTGTGTGTGTGTGTGTGTGTGTGTGTGTGTGTGTGTGTGTGTGTGTGTGTGTGTGTGTGTGTGTGTGTGTGTGTGTGTGTGTGTGTGTGTGTGTGTGTGTGTGTGTTGTGTGTGTGTGTGTGTGTGTGTGTGTGTGTGTGTGTGTGTGTGTGTGTGTGTGTGTGTGTGTGTGTAAATAAAATAATGGGAAAATACTCTCACAAATAATCAGAAGCAAATTTATTAAAAATGTGAATGTCTACCCTCGAGTGCGTGCTTTATTAATAAAGTAATAAAACACGGACTTGAAGGTAGACTGCCACATTTTTAATAAATCTGTTTTTTATCATTTGTGAGAGGATTTTCCAATTTTTATTTATTTGTATGTGTTTTGTGTGTATGTCTACAAACACACACACACACACACATATTTACAATACAGGAAAAGGAAATTGTCTCTAGAACAAATGGATCCCTGTCCCCGCCGCAAAAACACCGGCAACTTTAAAACTACCCATAGACAGTTTTGGGTACATCCAGGATGTCATCTGCGAATAGAGGCCCGCAAAATAAAAATCCGCGAACTTGGGGTGCCATCTGTACTGTACCTTTCTTTTTACACTGTGGAGGAGTGTAATACTTTTTTTTTTTCAATCTCGAATGCGACGTCTAGCTTTATACCTTGGTATGTTAATGCCTAGTGGGAGATCTTCCCGCCGAGGATAATTTTCCTTCACGCATTTTGTTTCCAAACTTTCTGGCAACATCCTCAGTGTTTTGCTTTAAGTCTCCTATGAATTTTAGTTTCTCCTGCAGTGTGTTCTTGCCACATGTAAGAGATCATCAAGGGCCCCTTTCTGCCACATTGTCAGTCTTCTGTTCATTTCTGCCACATTTTATTTGCACTTGGTCTTTGCTTGTGTCCTCTGACAGAATAGATGGCAAGTAATTGAAGAGCTAATGGAGCCATGGAGGTGTTGTGAATGTAAATGATTATGAGGCAAGTCATCTCCCGGATCATTTCTTTGGTGGCCGCACACTTGGGTGGTTCAAAGAGGTTAGCTGGCGACCACCTGACCACTTCTGAGTAGACTTCTTTGACCAACTTCTCCGTATCGTCTGCTGACAAGCCTTTCCAAATTGCTGACCTTGCGAACAGTATTTTCTGACTGAGTGGCTTCACCACTATTGTCTGACATGTTGTCATCAGGTGATGGATCTCTGCCATAGGGGTCTAATCAGATTTGATAAAGGCCTAACGAGAGCTAATAGGTACGAGGCCCTGCTTTGTCAGTATTTTTATTTACCTTTATTCATTATTATATATTTTCATATGATGTATGTTCTATCATAAATTATATAAATACAGTATTAAATAATAGAGCAAAATACGCTGTATATAATTTGACTTCAAAGTAAAATGTCAAGCTGTACTGAATTCATTCGCATTTCTTCACTGGCCATAGATCCTCCCCCCCCCCACCCCCAACATTACGATCCTGTGTTAAGGGGGGGGGGGGCCTGAGCCGTATTTGTCAATATGATTTTCATTACAGTACAGTGCTCATTATTCGTGTATGATGCTCTTATGGTGTATGTTTTATCATATAATATAAAATATTAAATAAAGTGATATCTCCGTTAGCCGCAACAATTGGTGCAGAGCACTTCCGAGAATGAGAGATTTCCAGGTAACGAGACAATTCTCTCAAAGCTGGAAAAACTCCCTCATCCATGGAATTTTCCATGTAATGGAAAAATGTTCTCGGAAGTTCCAGAAATTACCCATTACATCATCTCTCGAACCAGGAAAAATATCCTCCATCCCCGGAAATTTCTGGTTCCCGGAAAATTTTTCTCAAAATTTCCGGAAAATGTGCCCATCAAAAAATCGTTCCCAAAGCCGTAATTTTCTGGAAAATTCTGGCTTTGGGAACAATTTTACGAGAAAATTTCAGTTCTGGCTATCGGAGAGTTCCGGGTTTGAGGGATTCCAGCTTACGGAGATATTACTGCAGTGAACCCTCACTTTACGCGGTCAATTGAACCCACAGCGGCCTGCGTAAAGTGAGAAACGCGTAAAGTGAACAACATAATTTATGGGATTAATTGAAATAGAGACCGGGCTGACCCCCAAACTCCACTTTTTCAGACAATACCTATGTTGTAGTAAAAATAACTTCTTAATTTTATGATGGTATGCACACACAATTAATAATTAAGAGAAATATCAATAATATTAGGTTTTTTTAACACTTACATAAGTAGAAAAGATGGCTGGGCACACGGGGATGGGGGGTTGGTTCCGAGGCAGAGGGCAGATTATTGGCCCTCACTTGTATCACTTGTATCAATTGTATCACTATCCACCACAGAGGCTTGCAGGGCCTCTGTCAAACCCCTCAAAGTCCATATAAGTCCATATCCTCACTATCATTATCACTATCACTGACTTGGGCCGGCTGTGGTGGGTGGTGGGTGAAGAACTCGGTAATGTTTTGATGACTGGGCGACCTTGTGCGCACCCTGCTCGCGCTGCTCTCCGCGTAAAAGGGTACACACACCGCGGAAAGTGAGCATTCCGTGTTCGGCAGGGTACCGCGTAAACGCGTAAAGTGGGACCGCGTAAAGCGAGGGTTGACTGTACTATAGAAAAAACACAATACTGTACAGTTGGCCCTTAACATACGCGGGGGTTAGGTAACAGAGATACAGTGGTCCCTCGGTTAACTAGCGCCTCGGTTAACGAGATTTGGTTAACGATTTACCTTCCATAAGATTCATAACTTCGGTTAACGAGCAATCCCTCGATTAACGAGTTTTTACGAGCCGACTTCAACATGTTTTCGCTTGCATTTGGCGGTCCACCAGCTGTAGTATTAGTCCGCCAATACAGTAATCAGTTTTAGGGCTT